AGAGAGCGAATGATAGAGTTAAGGAAGAGCGAGAGAGAGAGAGACATAGACACATAGACAAGAGGTTTAGGGCACCAAACTGGCACTCAGGGCTCTCCAGGCCCAGACAGAACAAAGCCCCACCCAGGCCTCAAACACAAACCGAAGAGGCTCGTCGCCATACGGACTAAAGAGCAGGTAGGTACATGATGAGCTGGCAGTACCGATGTGCTATTTGTATGTATTTGGTCACTCGGCGATGGCCGGACGGCAAACTCCAACAGAAACGGCTGAGGGTGACCCGAGCGGTTCGACGCCCGTCATTCTGGTGCGTGAGCCTATCACCTCGAGGTCGGTTCTAATCTTATGCAGTGCATCTCGTTGGTTCAGACCGTGTATCTCGTCCACCGACGAATATGCGGGCGTAGGTTGAGATGAGAGCGATGTGGCCGTCGAGTCCCGGAAGTTATCGTATCCAAGGATGGCTTATCCGACGACTCGGAGGCCAGCGCTGTCAGTCCGGGGTCTATACATTATGAGGTGAGTGCCATTACTCGGAGATATAATGCATGTCCCAGCTCACCGAAAGGTATGACATGAACCGCTTTACGACCTTGCTTGCCGGGGCGCCGTCTACCCCTAGTCCATACAAGCATCAGGATGACGGCTAGTACAGCAATCCCCCCGCGATTGCGCCCGCTGCCAGCGCCGAAGGATGAGACCGCGCTGTGGCACTAGTTGGGCCGCCGACACTCGACAGGATACCGGAGCTCTGCGACTGCGTCGCGCCTATGGTGTCGAATCCGGAGGATGCAGGCGGCTCCATAGAGATGCCGTGGTCAATGAGGAGGTGAGTGTAGAAGCTATGTTCGAGATAGATGACGTCGTGCTCGGTTGCGACGAGGATGCGCCTGGCAAGCTTCGATACATTGTGGATAGATGAGTATCTGGCGGCGGACTACCAGCGAAGCTCGTCGTCGCTTGCATGTTTGGGGGCGACGCGGCCTGTGTCGTGCTCGAAGCTGAAGGTGGGGCCTGTGATAGCTCCGAAGCCACGGATATCGTGGAAGACATTGTCGAAGAGGTCAATGTGACCAAGACGTAGTCAAACCACATTTCCTGACCAAGATTAGTGATGACGAGTGTATGCTCTCCGTCCGCCAATGTGGGAGGCGCGAAGAATTTCTGGCGGTATGCGGGCTTCACCACTGTACTGGCAGGGGTGAAGTTCGCGACTGACTCTCCATCAATGCTATAGCTCGAGTGTATGTCGAATGTTCCTGCGATTTCGAATGCGCCGAAGACCCCTATCTGCGTTCCTAGTTGCACGCACATTCGAGAGGATTATTGTGGTAGTGAAAGTATTTGTTGGTCACATACCTGTGAATGTGTAGGTCGCTGTGTCACCTGAGGTGTTCGAGAAAGTCACTGAACCGGCATAATTGAAGTTTTCAGGGTCACTGATTGGGCTATGAATCCACGACCCGTGGTACTGTATTCCCGGGTCGCTGTCGTCCACGTAAATCTGAGGAAGCGTTGTGCGGGCTTCGACCATGGAACCCGGTGCCTCCATGTCTCTCGAGCGCATGCTGGCGGTGGTGCGGAATTTATCTCTTGTAGTAAGTGCGGAGTATATGAGGACCCGATGCCTGCATTGACAGATGGGACAGCTGTTGGTGGTCTTGGGTGGGGCGTCCGCCATGGCTACTCCCACTTTGCGGTCGATTCTTCCCAAAGAGTAGTCTATGTGACGGTTCAACGCTTCATATGGCTCCTCTTCCACATACAATGTGTGGATTGATACATATGATCGACGTTTGCTGACGGATCTTCTCGGCTCCCCAGGGTCAGACCTATCCTCTTATTGAGCGCACTGTCTAGCTCCTGACCCACTCTGCGAATCTGCTGCTAAGCATCGCTCTAGGTGAGCTGCTCGAAAGTCGATGCATACATCCACTCGCAGTCATGTGCCGCTGATTTCCTGCGGGTTACGCAGCACATATCTACTCCTTCGACGGCTGTCCCGAAGATCCCGTAGGACATACATATGTTTTCAGAAGGCTTGCAGGAGCACGTCTGGAACGACGTGTGTGTACGTTTTGCTTCTATCCGATGCTCACCGCATTCTCCTGAATTTCACGTCTCTGTATCATACCAGCGGAGATGAGTGTCCTACAAGCTTCACATTCTTGTGGGCTATCGATCGCCAAGCAGAATGATACATCTCAGCGGCTGCTCATTGCCGAAGGCGCTATGCACTTGCGGGCCCCCACAGGCACACATCGGGCTGCGCTGACAGAATTCCGTCGGACTCGGACACAGAAGCAGTGCGTAAGGCGCCCCATCTGTCGAGCTGTGGGCGCGACTATTGACTTGTCAGCGGGCTTCTTCATCCACATCGCGAAGACCGGTCCTTGTATGCGCCCTCCATCGGCTCGGCTTGGTAGCCGACCAATGAGCGTGCGCGTAGAACTTCGCATCTTCTCTTTTGGACTGCTGGGCGGCCGCAGAGGATGATGTATCTGCAACGTTTCCCAAGACCTGACTCATGCATCAAGGGAACCTGTCTAAAGCAGTTCGCCGTCCTCTCATGAGCATGGACACCCGTATTGCTCTCCTGTTTCGCCGGACGCCATCTTCGGTATTTATTGGGGGAGACAGACACCGATGTCGCGAATAGTCCACGCTCTACGTCACAACCTTCTGCAGTCATCCTGTTGCCTTGCTTTCCTATCATCGAAGATGCTGTTACCCGCTTCGCTAAGTGGCGTCTTCATGGTAGTGTACGTGGGTATGTGCTGGCCATTATTCGATTCCTCGCCTTGCGATATCTGATGGTCGCTTCCGACAGTGGGGGCTGCGATAGCACTCCTAGTGGTTGGTTGCCTTCTTCACTGGTTGGACGGCAAGATCCAGTTCCTCAGAAGTAGGCCAGGCAGGTCTTCGGAGGTCCGTCGTAGGCTCTACTCAGTGGGCTGGTGCTGAACTCGTCTTAGGAGACACTGGAGGCGGGTACGGCGAGTGTCGATCTGAGGTCTCACCTTGTTGCTGGTATGTCGCCTCAACCAGCCTCTTTGTTGAACCATCTCTCATCGTTCATCGCAATTGAGCCAGTTACAAGTGATCCGAGCAGACTCGTAACGGTCGTGTCTGGCGAACCACAGTCGATACCGGGATCTGATATCCCTTCTGCCTCAGCCGAGTGAGAGCCCTGAGAAGCCCCCGCGACGCTGCAAGATATGGCGATGTCCCAACAGGATTTCGGTCTTCGAGAATCAGGTTCTCCTTCCAATTGGCACCGCGGAAGCGTCAATACGCGCGCCACAGCGCAGTCTGGCACGGGGCCGGTCTGCACGGGAACCGAGTCATAAAGGCACTGAGCGCATTCTTGTCTCTCCTGGGTGAGACGGAACGATAGTGTTATCTGCCCTTCCCCTCTGCAGAGGTCCGACATCCGAAGATTCTGGTCAGCTCGAACACTACACGTCATGAACCGTTCCTGATCATGACGACCAGTTTCTCTCGCTCTCCCTCGTATGTTGCCTCTATCATATTCAAAGACAGCAGGTTGCCAACCTTCCCATGTACAGATACTGAACACTCGGGAACACCGGGGAGCACGACTGTCCTTCCCCAACTCCTGAGGTATGCAAGTTATCCCTGGCTTCAGGAAGCGGTAGGGGGGACCGTCACAGGCTTATTCTCCCTTTACACCCTTCACAGGCTACCTGACAGGGTCATGTGGATGGGGTCGAGAGCAGGTCAGGCCACCTCAGTAGAGGCATGTTTGTCGGACTCTCAGAGTATATGCCGCGCAATGGCCTTTCCATCCCTCGTTCCATTCGAGCGGAGATCATAGCCTGAAATAGTAGCTCCCTTCTTACCAGTCGCATAACATCTTCTCTTGACTATCGACATGCTCGAGTGTGTTGTTGATATGGTGAACCCGTACATCAAGGCTTTACGATGACATATCAGACAGAACAGATGCTATCTCGTCTTGTGCTGAGACAAACATCGTGAACGACCACATATTCATGCTCGAAGCTTGTGCGGACCGGTATGGGTCTGTTGCAAACTGGTTCGATGACCTGCACTGGGTCGTTCCCAGTCCTTGCGGGTTGCCACAACATCCATACAATGGATTATGAGCGGTGGTTGCCTGGCTACCTGCGCTGCATCCTTCGGTCATAGTACAATTCCACCACGGTACGATGTAAGAACCGCGAGTTAAGACGAACTACGCGTTGACTTCCCTCCGAAGGCTGCGAAGTTGTCGCAGCCGCCGCAGTATGCCTTGTGACTGGCCTATTTCTTTGGTCATGATATATCAACCCTCGTGATGTAGTCAGATTATCGCGTACATTAGGAGTGTCTCCCCCAACATTATATTTAATTGAGCAGAAGGGGCTGACAAGATTGGACATAGCATGTTACCATGACCCTCGAGCATAAGATCGGACGGCACCAACAGAAGCAAGAAGGAAGGATCAACGAGGAATTACGCGCAAAAGCAGTCTCACGCGCATCGCCACTATGTCATGTTATCGAGCTATTACCCTGTCCCCACTTCTCGGTGCGTCCTTGCCGCCGCCTGAGAGAAACAGCCCCATGTCTTCCGTGCTCAGCCAGACCCTGCATTGAATTTGTTCTGCCCCTGCTTGCAAGAAGAGGTAGGCTCTGTTCATCTTAGTATGGTCAATGTGATTTTAGCCATAGCAGGTACTGGGGCAGGATCTTCCTGCGGAAGGCTCTGAGTGACCGTGCATATCATACTCGCACGTCAGACCTCACAAGTTCCGGATAGCTTCTATGAATCAGGGTTTTCCACCGACATGATTGGTGATAGTAACTGCGCAACTATTGATTGTTCTAAATTAACAAATTTATCTAGACGCTAAGAGATCCGGATCTGAGTTCAATCATCGCCGGACGACGGTGCAGTCTATGTTCGCTGTACCGTGAGAGCACAAGGCAGGCACAATGCGTACAGTGAACGATGGTCGTGTCTCGAGGGCGAATAAGCCGTCTTCCATTGCTTTCTCCTGATGTTACTACCGTCCATCCCGGTGCCAATACGAAAGCAAGATAAAGCGTGGGTCTATTGCTCACGGGCGTCGAAATCCATCCCTCAACTCCAGTTCGCCATATTCATGACTTGCTCGCCATCGCTGCCTTCTGATGCCGGAGAAAAGCTCCAGCTTCAAGGGGGATCTCCAGAAACTCTGCATCAGGGTGACTCGGCGACATACATGTTTACTGGTACGATGTATATGCCAAAATTGAGCACTCGTTCAGCAATATGTTGACACTCCGGACAGGAACAGCTATCCAGGTGTTTGTGAATAGGCAGGATTCGAGTGGCAATGCCTTGTTCGGCATTGATACGGATGGTCAGCATCATGGCGGCGACACATGCAACCCACAGCAAAACCCTTCTGGAGCACTCTGGGGTACCTCCCAATTGAGTCTGAGTCCCACACAGCATACGCTTTTCATCACAAATAGCGGTCAACAACTCATATTGGACTCCATCGTGGTCTTTGGTGGGCCATCAACAGCATCTCGACAGACTCAAACAACGGTTCCGTCATCGGCTTCCAGTACATCTACTCACTTCTCCATGACCACCACCGTTACTCTCCCTCTTCCTTTACCGACACCGTCAGGAAAGGCTCCGCAGAGTACATCAACTGCCACAACCTCATCCTCAGTCGCGTCCTCTTTGACTCCGGGAACACTTACCCAATCGCAGGCAGACGTCACACACGCATCTACTTTGATGAGCAGCGTCACCAGCCCCATCGTTCACACATCAGTAATTGCACCTTCCCTTGGCGCAAAAAGCGGTGGGCTTACCATCGTCTCTGGGTATACTACGATCAGCACTATTGACGGGATGGCTACAACTATTACTGTTCAACCGACAACCATCGTGGTCAAGGAAACATCGGGCACTAGCGGGCTCAAGGAAACATCGCCCATTAGCGGGCTCTCCAAAGGAGCTATTGCTGGAGTGGCAGTAGGGGTGATCGCCTTCTTCATGATGCTTTTTGGGACATGGTGGTGGTGGCGCCGTTGCAATCGTGTTAGATTCTTGTATGGGATTTCACACCTGGACTTTGGTACGTCTGCATGCATCACATAAATTCTTCGAACCAAATCGACATGTGACGCAATTTCCTTCATAGATCCGACGGTGGCTTCATCGTCAGATGTTGAGCTCTCAAGTCAGAATATGAGGGCGCGGGAGAGCGAAGTCACGCTGTACAGTGATGCCCTCGCCGAGTACAAGCGGCCATCCAGCTACGCATCCTTCGCTTCCGATGCAGAGAAGCGCCCTCTTCCCCACGCCACGCCCACGCCTCCAGGGTTGTCCCAGGAGCAACAGGCATCCATGCACAACACACCGTGTTTCTGAACTACGCTGCTGGTCAGATTGAAGGCCCTGTCCATGGAGTAGAATCCGTAGAGTGAATCACTCCGCGACTTGGGTTTGGCTATAGGTGCCGAACGATGACCGCATTCCTGCCTCGTAAGGTGGTTTCATTCTTGCGTCTCTTGAGTCGTTCAGATTGCTGATGAACCTGTATGATCACAGGATATTCCGATAAACCCTGAGGAGAGACGCAGTCAGATCCCAGTGGACCCTAGAATGAATGTAGGGCACGAACGCATGTCAAGATCGAAGTAGCTGGACAGACTTCGAAGAGGCGAGCTGAGGGGCGTCGAGATATGAAGCTGAATTGGACAGTTGAGATGATGAACGGACTCGGGCTCTGTTTGTGACGGCTTCGATCGCTTCTGACATTCCTTCTTGTTGTCGTGTCCTACACAGCCTGTTAGGGACACGGACCCTCCCCAAAATCGATAATCACATGTACTCTTCGCACGAGGTTCATGTTCGAGTTGCAATATGGGCGATGCCGTTCTACGCCAGTGGGATTGATCCCTTGTGCTCATACAGGCCTTACACTACTGAGCTGACCTCGCGATAAGGGCGGCAACGACCTCGTTTTGAAAACCAATGCTACATCAATAAGCATCGCATTTTCAGCGTTCTAGGACCTTTGCAAGCCACCACTTCCATCGATCGCTATAGCTCTGACTTGCTTCACTGCAACGTTCAGCCGTAGCAACGGCAAGGAAGTTATAGGAGGGCAACACTCGGCTGGGACGGAAGGCATGGTCGCCGCTCTGGACTCGGAGGTTCAAAGATGGATGGATATAGAGTGGCATTCGCACTGTCCCAAGAGGACAGATCCGAAGAGTGGCAGCCTGGCATTTGTGAGCAGAGACGAAGTAGCAGATAATGGAAACAGGCAGTACCGTTAAGGTTTGAGGAGGCCAGCTGCGTATGGCGCCCATCTCGGGGGATTGCCGCGGAGGCATGGAATGCAGTACATCGAACCATCTGCCAGCCAGCCTTGTCTCGGAAGCTACAAGACAGCGTGCAACACCTCACACGCAGATCGAGAATTGCTTGATTACGTCATCTGACAGCACGAACAGTAGGTCTTGGACGAGGCCCATCGCAATTGACGAACCTTGCTAACACCGGAGAACACGCCATCATTGGTGCGGAGGCAGAAGATGGAATCACTCGCTGAACATATGTGCCTGTATGTCGCTTCGACAGCATGATCTCGTGCAACTCGCCAGCTTCGAAAGTGCGCATTACTACAGACTAGCGCCCGTGTCTTCCATCTCGTCCTGTAGATGTGCAGGTGCGCTCTCACGAGCTCATGGTCACGTCTCTCCCCGCCCGCCCCCGCTCCCGAAGGCGCATGTCCCATGTCCTCACGGCTGCACTCGCAGCTGGTGCTCATACTCCTCGCAGTATGCCGTCCCATCAAGCTACGGGCTGCCACCCTCATCGTTCAGAGCAATGACCCAGCGATCCAATATGTTGGCTTCTGGGAGCATTTGAGCCCCAACAGCACGACCACCTACGCCATTTCGAACACGACAGGATCCAGAGCTACCTATTCGTTCACGGGTGCGTTTCGGACGGCATACTGAGGTTAACTCCCGCAGGAATACTCAGAGTCTGCCGCAGGTACCGCAATATCAGTCTTTGGTGTCGTGTTCCCGCCAGGGCCAAGAGGCGTCGCGCAGGTATCGGAATGCAGCGTCGACGGAAATTCAACAAGACAATTTATCGCGCCGAGCAATGTTACTAGCCCTGTGGACCTGCGGCTCTACTCCGCCGAAATGCTCGCAAACAAACAGCACACCATAACAGCGTTGTTACGGGTCAAGTCAACGGTCATGACTTTTAGACGACGGATGACCGGTCACTGTGTGACCCGGTCATGACCGCCGGTCAAAAGTTAGCACGTGATATCTCCGGCACGTCCGAGTGTGCGTCTGACGGCAGGCCATGGCTCTGGGATAGGCCAAACGCATCGTGGCCGCGAGGAGGTACAATAAGGGCTGATGAGACTATTGCATACTCATCCCTGTCCTTGAATTTAAATGACCTACTACCCCATAATACGCCATATCTGAGCTGCGAACCGACAAAGAGCTTGCCGACGGATAGATCAAAAATCAACTCATAGGGAACGGAACTCGACTTGGATATGAAGGCCGACGAGAGAACTAGCTGTATATGACAAACGAGCTGCAGTTTTTAGCCAGCAAGAGGAGTCTGAGTCGGAGGAACAGTTGCCCAGCGGCCTACTGTTGGTTGCCACCGTGACAGCTGATCGTTCAGTACTTCGTTAGTCATGGCAACTGAGATGTTGTTGAGGGTCTGAATACAGCATTAGCCACGCTCGATTTACATTATC